TGCCTCCTGCCTCCTGCCTCCTGCCTCCTGCCTCCTGCCTCCTGCCTCCTGCCTCCTGCCTCCTGCCTCCTGCCTCCTGCCTCCTGCCTCCTGCCTCCTGCCTCCTGCCTCCTGCCTCCTGCCTCCTGCCTCCTGCCTCCTGCCTCCTGCCTCCTGCCTCCTGCCTCCTGCCTCCTGCCTCCTCCTCCATAGTGCCTAGGCTGCAGGTGCGCACCACCCCGCCCCATCTGTGCAGTGCTGAGGACTGAACCTTGCACATGCTGGGCAAGCATTCTGCCAATCAAGCTCAGTAAGAGGGTCACAAGATGAGGGTACGGGGGAAATGATGTGAGCTAGGGAGTGTGGTCACAGGTCACTCGGGGTACACTCAGGACTTATCCATGACACCTTTTCTCTTCTCTCTCCTTCTTGGCTACCCCGAAGTGAGCAGCTTTGCCAGCCACACGTCACTTTCTCCCCACTGTGATGTTCCTCCTCATCTCACACCCAAGGAAAGAGAGCCAGCACCGTGGGCTGGAAACCAGAGCCAAGGAGAACCCTCCATCTAGATGATTTTCTTGAGTATTTTCATCCCAGCAATGAAAGTTGAATGACAGAATCTGAGGGTGGAACCCACAAGGGAGAGTATGATGTTCACTCTACAGAGAAGGGAACCGGAGAGGAAATCCTAGAAGGAACACCCAGGTAGATCCAGAATTTGACAGGCGAAAGGACTGGCCACAATGCCAGAGGTGGAGACACCAGCAAGTAAAGGCCCAGGGACAGGAGTCTGTTCTTCCTCCAGATGATCAACACCAGATGAGACAAGACATGGGAAGAAGCCTCAGGAGGTCAGTCAGTGTCTCTCTCCATCAGTGAGAACCCAGCACCCATGCATATATGCCCCCATTGGGGGCAAAGTCACAGAAAAGGTGATGTCCTGGAGGGGGTCTCATGGTTATCTAAGCCATTCAGAAGTGGCCAAGACACCATGTCTGAGTCTTTAGGGACTCCCTGCTCCGCCTTTTTAGCAGGACACTGAATTTCTGCCACAGCCCCACCACACGGTGAGGACACACTCCACAGGTGAGGCTCCCAGAAACAGGGAGGGTGGCCAGGGAGAGAAACAGTCCAGGCTAGCGTTAAGCCTTCTCTACCTAAATAGCTCCCCCACCATCTTCAGGGCAGGACCCTCTCAAAGTGACCAACGGACAAAGTCAGCTTCCTACCTCCCGGGAGGCATGGGACAAATGGCTCTTCTGTTGTAGGAAGTAAGCTACAGGGTGACTCAATCTCCCCCTGTTTCCCCAAGTCACCCTAACTCTCTGAGTCTGTCTGCCTTTCTTAAAACAGCCTCACATTCCCAGGGTTTCATGAATGAGTGTCGCACTGCAGTGGGGGCAGGGCAAGGGGGGATCTTTGTCCCTAACGACAAGCTCAATACTTTCTCTTTCCCTGAACCCCATACTACTGCCCCTTTTCTCTTTTACCTCAAAGCTCCCGGTCCCACTCATCGTCCACAGAATGCAGATCTGTGAGCACCCCACCACCCCAAAGCTCCCTTGATAGCGCAGCAGATTATGGAGTCCCGTGGGAGAACAGCGTCTCCCCCAAATGAACATGTGAAGATCCATGGGGTGCTCAGGACAACAGGAAGGCACGTGCTCCTGGCCCCTCCATCCCTGCCCAGCCCTCACCTTGACCACGCCGAACAGCAGGCTGACGCTGATGGTGAAGAGGACGCCAATGAGCAGGAAGCTGGAGAGCAGGTCAGCTGCAAGGCAGGGCAGAGACTAAGGCGAGGCCTGAATGGACTCCGGGGACCAGCCTTTGGGAACTGCTAGTGTGGGACCATGAGTGTGAACAGTGAAGCCTGGGACCAGACCTAGGCTGGCCCTCCTCACCCAGGTGAGGGCTGTGACTGGCAGAGGGAGAGACTGGTGGACAGGGCAGTGTGAAGTGGACAATATGGCAGGAACTTCCGTCTGAGCCTCAGAACCTGAGAAAGTCCCTAGCGCAAACAGAAGAGCCTCATTTGCATGTGAGCTACTCCAGGCTCCTAAAGATTCAGGGGTGCACAGCAGTCCAGTGGAAATGGCTGAACCACAGATCCCAGTCCATATGTCCTAATCATGCACTGCCTGCAACTCCCCACCCAATCACCACTGCACCCAGACATACCCATCCTGAGGTACGGCATCTTGGAGAACCTGCAGGAGACTTTACCGCGGGCCACCTCCACCACATGCTCAACGAACAGCAGGACACTCATGACCTAGGAAATAAAGGGCATCAGTGAGCCAGGCCACCATCCAAGCAAGATGCTGTCGAGAGGCTAGAACAACAGCTTGCCTAGTCAACGGGCATCCTGCCTCTCACTGCTAAAGATCAGGTACCCTGACTGCACCCCTTCCCTCTACCCCAGAACAGGCTCTGGCTGGCATAGGACCTAGGTCATCATACCCAAGCACCATGGAGCTCCAAGTTGATGAACTATCAGCAGAGGTCTAGGATGCCCTGTAGAGCCCCAGGCCCTGGGCGAGCCAGTCCTAGTCACCACAGCTCCAGAGTCCCTACTTTCCCAGCTATAACGGAGCTGATAACACTGGCCTCCTGGAGCTGTGGGGAGCCAGACAGGACGACCGACCTAAGCATATGGCAGGTATGAAAGCTCAGACTGTACAATGAGGAGCAGGTGTGACCTGGTCTTCCGGCTCCAGCAAGGAGGCCTGAGTCTCACTTAGTGATGTGGCTGTTGCATTGGATGGATGGATGGATGGATGGATGGATGGATGGATGGATGGATGGAAGAAGCCTGTCCCTTGGGGACCCTTGCCAGGCAAGACAGAGAAGAGACAATTCTGAAAAGGCCTAAGCATTGGGTGTCCCAGCCGCCAAAGCTACAAAGGCTACGAGGGATTGCATTTTGTCTACACCACAGCCGTCTACCAGAAGAGCCCCACGCCACGCAACCGCATGGACCTCACGCCCTTCCGTGTGTCTGTGTCTTTCCCGAAGTTCTGCACCTCTTCCCCACTACAAGACACGCAGTTCCCCAGGAGAGCGATCTACTCACGCTGAGATCAGGACCCACCCCCTCCCCCTGCTCCCTCCGTTGTGTGGGTCCACTTTATCAGCACGGCCTAAGTTCATGTCATCTTACTAAGTGACAGGTCACACTGAGTGGACAGGCAGCCAGACCTCTTTTATCTGTTTCCCTTTCCAATCTCTGGGTGACTGGTTAACTCATTAGTTTTTGTCTTTTGGTATTTAGCTCAGATATGGATCTCAGTCTGTTATTTTGAACCCCAATTTCAGGAGTCAGAAAGAGGGGCGGCACAGGAAATGGATGGAGAGACTGACTCCAAGATTTGGATCCAGATCGCTGTGTGTCCTTGAGAAAGTCACTTTACCTCTCTGAATTTGCCCATCTGTAAAAAGGCAATTGTGGGCTGCAGGAGGCACAGACTGCGTGAGTTAGAAAAGTTCTAGGTCAGGCCTGGCAGAAGCTGAGGCCAGAGCCTGCCCTTGGGCTGGGCACGTTCCCTGTCAGGCTCCTCCTGTAGCTGCTCCTCTGTCTGACAGGAAGGGATTCAAAGGCTCTGCTTCAACCAAAATGCTGGCAGCTGCCGGAAGTGGCAGCATGGGGGAGATGTGATGGGAGAGGGGCTGTGAAAGGGCTGCGGTCCCACCCCCAACGCCTGAGCACAGGAACTTTGTCCGGTGGGCTCAAGTGATACAACCTGCCAAGTGAGCCCCGGGTGTACTTGTATCGGAAGCTCTGTTCCTTTCAGAAGTTCAGAGATTAGGAAGCTCATCTGCTCTCACACGCCAAGGCAAGAGCAAGGAAAAACCCAGGTTTTCAATGCTGTCCTGGTGCTGTGCTACCTTCAAACACCCTGAGCCAGGTCTGCTGGTTCAGACCCCAGAAGGAATAGTCACCGTGGCCACACACCAACATCTAGAAAACTTCACAATATGTCTTCATCCCTATGTTCTGTGCATACTAAAGACACTGTAATCTCACGCCAAGACCTTCCAGAGGTTAATTTAAGAAGAGGTACAAACGTTATAGGAACCCTGGCATTGGGGCTGGGGCTCAGCAGACAGTGCTTGTCCAGCATATAAAACATCCTGGCTTGATCGCCAGTGCTCCACAAATTATGCATAGCACAGGAAATTGTAATCCCACTTCCTGAGAGGTAGAAGCAGGTTGCTACCCTAAGCTATATAGTAAGTTTGAGTCCAGCCTGGGCTACATGAATCTCTAACTCAAAATGAATAAACAAATACCCCATACTGCATCCAGGAAGGTGACCCAGTGAGTCACTAACCATTACTCCACTTTGGAGACCATGGTTCCTCATAATCCCTAACCCCACAGCCTCCTCGCCCTGGCCCTGTACTCTGAGGGACACCACCATTCACATCCCAGAAACAGCCCTACCAAGCGGCCAGTGGCCTGGGAAGTGCCAAAAAGAGGGGGGGGCCAAGACAAGGTCAGTCTTTATATGCTGACCCTTCCATAGACCAGGAGAGTGAGGCTCAAAGGTCCTGGAGCTTGCCCGTGGCCTCCCAGCAGCCCCCTGTTCTCTAGAAACTTCTACCAAGCTATTGGTCTTCCCCCTCTGGCTGCTCCCTTGCCCTGCTGAGGCTGCTCCTGCACCCTCCCTTATAAAATCCTCAAGAGGGCTGGCCCTCCCTGATCCTGGCAGCAGGAGTGAGCCACCCCCCAAGTATTTCCCCACTGTAGGGGAGGGGAGGGGAGGTTTCTGCTGAGCAGCTTGGATCTCTACTCAAGATGTTGCTGAGGGGCTAGGGGTGGGGCTAATCTGTCCTCATTTGCCACATGAGAGTCTGGAGCTCAGAGAGAGTGAGGTACCAGCCTGAGGGCACACAGTAAGGCAACCTAAGAGTTAGCTCAGCAGGAAGGAGGCATCCTCAGAGACTACCACCTTGTGTCCCCAAGAGAAAGAACGACAATTCCTGACATTACTGGCCCCACTGTGTGCAGAGACCTGGACACAAGTTTGGCCTACAATTGCCCACAGCCCAGCCAAAAGGACATAATCAGGCTACCTACAACCGGGCAATGGGGACAGAGAGGAAAAAGGCTGCCTTGCTCTGTTGGATGAAACCTCAAACCTCTGTCCCCAGCCCCAAGGCTCCTCTCAGGGCTGGTGACCCTGATCACAGCCACCTGCCTCCTCCCTGGGAACTACCCAGAGCCCCTGGCTCTTGGAAGGGCAGACTCTGGAGAGCCACAGGCTTTCTTCCTGTCTGTGTCACCTGAGATGCTTGCCCCTCCGCGCCTCAGTTTTCACCAACAGAAGGGCACTGTTGAGAATGTGAGGGCCAGGGAGCAGAAGTTCTGCACAGAGCAGGGGCCCCAGATCAATGGCCTTCCACCCACAAAGCCTCCAGATGCACAGCTCATCGGAGGACACGATGCTCACCCCTAGCCCCATGCCTCAGTAAGCATCCCAGCATCGGAGAAGCAATGGGCTCCTTCGGGTCAGCCATGAAAAGACAGCGGACAGAAACAGAGATTTCCAGGCCTAGCCTCCCCTATCACTGACTTTGACCCAGAGACTCTCCCAGGCTGCAGGTGCAGGGCTGGCCGTGTCCTCGGCACTGCGCTATCCTCTCTATGGTGAAGACAGATGCCATTGAGCCTGCTGTCCCCCACCCCCACCCCCACCCTCACCCCAGCATCCTCTCTCCATGCAGGCGACATTTTGTGGCTGCAAGCTCTGCATCCTGAATTAGCCGTTGACCTCTCTGGGCTTTGGAATGAAGACAAATGCCCTCTCCAAGGTTACTGCAGGATCACAGGGGACAGAGGACACAGAGCTGGCGTACAGTTTGAGCAGGACTGAGCACAGAGTAGTGTGAAGGAGACTGGCTGGGGACAGACAGGTGACGTGAGAAAGAGGTATCAGGCTGCCAGTGATAGCCATGGTGATGGAAAGGGGGCACACCATTTTCCTGAAGTCTGCCTGGATAGGTGACAAGGACAGTGGCAAGCGATGGAGGAAACACCAGTGACATGCTGGGAAGCAGGAAGGAACAGCTGTGGTCGCTGTGATCACAGTACTGCAGCCGACACTGATGACGTACACAGGAACGTAGGGGCAACGACCTTTAGATGCAATGGTGATCTCATGAAGGTAATCACGGAGGGCACAATCACTGGTCCCACTCTGGGTGCAAAGGTAAGACAGAAATGGGGGAGAATGGGGACCTGAGAAGGACAGGAGTTCCTCACTTCAGAGTCTTCTTGAAGCTTTCCACCGGGTAAGCATCAAGACTTCCCGAACAGTAGGGCTGGAGAGACAGCTCAGTGACTAAGAGCACAGTTCCCAGAATCTTCGTGGATGCTCACAGCTGCCTATAACTCTGGTTCCAGGGGACCCAGTACCCTCTTCTGACCTCTGCAGCCGCACAGACATACACACAGAGGAAACACCCGTACACAGAAAAAAAATTAATAAAAAAAAATCATTTCAAAACAATTGAGAACCACCCATTTTCTGGGGCTCTCCCGGGAGCCCAATTACAGGCGAAGCTGTGTTCGAAGACACTTGTGCAGCCCTGGTGCTTCCTGGCTCTGCCTCATAACCCCGTCTGAGGTAGTACAGGAACCACCCCACAAGCTACTCATCAAAAGGAGAAAAGAGAAACAGGGGCTGGCCGTTTCCTAGCAACCCTTCAAGATGTGCTTGAGAGTCATGTCCGGGCCTGTCCTCACCAACAGTGGGTCCTCTGTGTCACTCACACCCTTCCATCATTGACCCAAAGGGCAGACCAGCCCTGCCCTGTGCTCCGTTGGGTGACTTGGGACCTGCAAAACCCTAGACCGTTATGGTAGCTGTTAATCCCTCCCTCTGACCCTCTATGTCAGCTGCCCACCCTGGGGAACTCAGGTCAATTCATCTGGGATGTCACAGAGAGAGACAGAAATGTCATCAGCCAGAGGAAGCTCCCCTCCCCTGCTTCCTGTCACAGTTTATGGGGGCGGCTGGGTGGCGTCACTCCCCCAGAGCACTATCTTCTCAGTGTACCCCAGCCTCTATATGCCACACGACACCCTCATCCTGCCTGCTCGCTCCACTGCACCCAGCTGGCTCCCTCTCTGTGCCAGAGTCACCTGAGCTGGCTTTTCCCCAGCTGCTGGTCCCTCCCCACCCCACCTCAACATAATTAACCATCCCTCCCCACTGCTGGACTCTCTGTGAGGGCTCAGAGGCCCCGATATGGTGGTGCACACCTGGA